GAGCTGCTTTCGAATATGTATGTATTGATTGAACTAGTATGCTCTGGGATACGAACCCCTGGTTCTAAAGTTAGCGAAAGCTTATTTAAAGCATAAATTAATAGCAGCTCTTAAAATATCACTGAAATGCTTGTTGCGCGTTGAAAGTTTTTCATAACGGTGGTCTTCAAGCGCTTCACTACGCACAACAGCATGATGTACAAGTTAATGGACTCTTCGAGCCATACTGAATCCATCCTCACTGCAGCTGATTGCGTTTTAATCGATATAGGCGCTGAGGATGCTGAGGATGGATTCGGTGGATTCAGAAAGGCTGAAACGTCTTGCAGCTTGTAAATATTGCTGTGCAGAGTAAACCATTTGAAGATTGTTATGATTTGTGAGTAAGGCGAGGTAGGCCTTGGCCTGCTGGTAAGAAGCCCGGTTCGAATTCTACAGAGAAGAGAACTTCTCGTACCACTAACTCCCTTGAGCGAGGAATTTACCTAAGCTTTTCTGTACAATTAATTAATCGAAAACGAGTGTCAAATGATTGAATTGCCAGAAGCATGTACAGCATGGAGTTAAGCTGTTGTTATTCCAAAATGGGCAAGATGAACGGCCGGGCCGTCCGATATATGCGCTTTTTATGGCTGCAGTTTGCTTTGACTTGCGTCATAGTTGAACATACAGCATAACAGTTAGCACAAGGTTTAAAATTTGCTTTTTGTCGTTTCTGTTCATGCAATATCCTGAAAAAATATTAGTGATTAGCAAAACATTATTCTGAATGAATCATTCGATAAATTAATTGTTCCAGGCAATAAGATGGCGCGAAGCGCATCCGACACTTGGGGCGTTCAAATTTAATGGATCAGTGGCTTATTTCAATGGTCTGTTAGACAACGGTTCAGCACTTTCCTCAGCTGTGGAAACCGGTGTGCATAGGTAATGGGCGAAATATGAGGAATTGTTGTATTTCCAGTATGAACGGCAAGTTCTCCTCGGTTAAGCCAATGAGTATTCGAGTTTAAAGTGACAAAATCTGCGTAACTAATCTCCCTGCACTTCTATGTCCTATTTGAATCAAGCTTGCAAGGAACAGTTAAAAACGGCTACTTAAAGGCACTCTGAAAAATCAGAAACGAAGGTACATATGACGTTTGTATTTTTCAAGAATTCATGACCTTGATGAAGAACCAAACCAAGATATTTTCTTACACAGTTGTAGTCAGCTTCGAGCCTCCTTTATAGGAAAAATTTAATGGCTATACCAGTGACTCCGTACTTCAAATTCAGCATCTCTCAAAAGAGTCAAAAATGGCAGTCGAAACGATCAGTTTCATGAACTTCCACCTAAAGCTTCAAGTCGAGCGTTTGAGGTTATCCTGATGCTCTGTTTTACTAAACTGACAAATTTCATAAGAACATTAACGCCACCTTCGTGACCCCACTGGAAACTGATGTCTTTAAAATTCTTCCATTTTCTTTTACTTATGCTACCTGAAGAAATACGAAACTCTGAGGCAAGTGATCGATTGAACGTACAAGAGTTTTCGCCATCTGCTGCAGGACACGTTTATGGCTGAAATCGTTAGTCATGTGCTGTTCACGAAACATGCACAAGTCTTCAGCAGCGGATTACGGCGGTGCCATAATGACGTCTGAAAATGCGAGGAATGCTGGACGTTGTTCAAAAAGAGAATCGTTTAGAGGCAGCTGCTGTAGTAGTAACGGATTATGAGTGTTTTTCTATGAAAGAAACGTAAGTGAATGGACGGGCTCAGTAAATGCGAACATTCGTTGAACAAAGGCATTCAGCTGAAGTTTCATGTTGACTTTATGAAAATGCACCTTTTGGAGAGCATCAGCAAGGGCACCCACGGAGCCGCGAGGAATAGAAACTAGCGATGACCGTAACTGACTTTCACAAAAGAGTAATGGTTACCTTCAGATAGCACTGTTCTGCGTGTGACTATTAAATAGCTATGAAGAAAATAATAAAGAAGCAATGTCACATGTTGCTAGTATATTGTTTTGCAATGTCATCTCCATGGACCTGATAAGCTATAAAACTACATCTATCTGGGAAAGCTTATTTCTGCACGAAGAACCGATTATGTGAAATCAACGGCAGAGCAGAAATAGCATCGAGTAGTTTTAGAAGACTGAAAATATTCCAATTCGGGAAATTGCCCTAGTTCCCAAAATTAAAGTCGATCAGCATGTGCTCCCAGTGCTAACATATATGTGCCAAACGTGGAGCCTGGTGGCTGCTTATAAACTGCAAATGCAGAATGAAAGGGGTTTATGTCGCGAATACCAAGAAGCCATAGGAAAACGAATGAGAGCAGAAATAAGTCTATAATTTCATTGCCTTGATAAAGAAGGTAAAATGGTGATGTGCAGGTTATGTTGCGAGAAGAATCAATAATCATTGGATCAGGGAGACACTAGACTGGGTTTCAAGAGGTAAGGAGGTAAACAGTAAGTAAGAAAAAGTCCAGATCGATTATGCGACCAGCCGAAAAAGTTCGTTGGATCCACGTGGCTAAAAATTACGAAAAACAAGTTTATTGCAAAGTTTTGGAGAAGCTATGAACCAGCAGTGGATAGGAAAATTTGGGCGATTGCCGACATCGTCATCGTAAGTGCCGGTCTTTAAGATAGTACAGAACAGTAAATGAGTTAAGTCTAAACATCGAGCTACCTCGAATTCGCATCGCAAAATTTTAGCAGTAGTGTAAACGGTTGTTGCCAGTTGTCGTCTTGTCAGATCATAGCATTTTTCAGAAGTTCATGCATTTTTCAATCCTGGTATGCACTGAAACATTGGTAGGATATGCGTGTGTTTGTATGATCACCGCTTTTAGCCGTCTGCATAAGCAGAATACTTCAGGTTTGTTTCTGCAGCATTTCGACACCGTTGTTCCAGCACCAGTTACTGCTACGTAGAAGGAAATACTCATCTCAGAAAGCAGATATGCCTCTACGTTTCTCCTCCATGTTAGATGCTAACTTCCTGGTAGATGCCAGCCCGTTTCGACTTTTATGCGAGAGACTCCCTGGCCGGAGTAAACGGTTTACGCTCAATAC